TGATAATCACAGTTGTAGCTTGTTTTGCGGCTCTGGACACATTTTATTAGTGAGACAAGAAGCACAGTTGGCTCTTTTGATTGTAAAGCTTGCAGACCCCTGTCCTGGTCACATGACCAATTTAGTGGGAAAGAATTGCTCTTTGGAAAAATCTGTTCCAAACTGTGTCAAAATTACAGACTCCAGGCTATACATCAATTTTTAAATTGTGTTGATAAATTGTGTTGATTAATTGCACACGATATGATTACGCCCAACCCTAATGTCTTTCCAGCAAAAATACTTGGGATCTGCTTATATTTTTAAAAAAGGCGACAATTTAAAATGTACCGTCTTGATGGTATATCCCATTCTGTGGTGGAATTCTTTAACCACTATTCTGACTACAGTTAAGGAACAATGGGACACTGAAAGGCTGAATCCCATTTTCTAGGGTGATCCTACACTTAACTCTTTAATTCAAAGATACAATAAGTAGAAGTACTATATTTCAAAAAGSGTAAACCTTCAAGAAGGAAATACATCACTAGTAGTCACCTTTTTTATTTAAACAGATACTATGTCAATACATCTTTACAGGTCATATGAAACTAGTTTCTCTTGTTTTGTRTAGTTTCAGAAGAACAACCATAATKAAATGTAACACACTGAAATACACCATCTTAAAATGGCTACTGTTACYATAAAACCTTTTAACTGAAAGAAATACTTACATTTATTAAGTCGTATGTTTGTTTAAAGTGTGCCCTTGAAAAGTCAGGCTTTGAAGAGCTAGTTATACACTTTTTATTCTGTCCTTACATCATAACACTGGGGTTCAGACTAAATATAGAGGTAGATATAACACCAGAAAATTGGTTTTAGCCATCGTCTTTTATCTCAGTGGGTGTGAGGGCTGTGGTCATTCAACTAGTTTCCAGCTGATATAAACTGTTCGTCAGGCTATGAAAGTGAACTAAGGTGTCCACATTCAGTGTTAACATAAAAGGGTGTTTCATGGATCKCAAGCAGCTCTGGTTTAAAGTTGTCTCCACGTTGGAATGAAGGCCATTCGTCAAGTGAGGTAGCTCGGGGTGTAGCAGCGCTGAGATTTACAGACAGGACTGTCATGGTTTTAAAAGCGCACACACGCAGAGGTGAGGCCAAGCTACATAGACCTCTATTCATCTGCTGTCTTCACTAATGAAAACCCCCACACATAAAGTGAGTATGAGCTGTGGGTTCGATCCCACTGCAGGTCATTTAATATCAAAGAGCAAAAACAACGGGACATGGAAAAACTACTTTCCAGTGTTTTTTCTTCACTATATGCCCAAAACACAAATCTATCAAGTAAGTTGCTTAGGTTTTACTAAGCAGCATATTAGAAATGAATGACCAAATTTAAAATGTATGTTTTTTATTGCTTTCAGTGTAATAACACGACCTCATGGACACACCTTGTTTTTTGGCTTCACGGGTCCTCATAAATAATACAGCACAAGGCTGATGCTTTCAGAATACATTATTGCACAGGGCTCCCAGCTTGCTCTTAATATTTAAAAGTGTCCGAGACTAATATTTATGGTTGGGTGTTCCCCTCCGTCTATTGTACCGGGGCGACACGTTCCCCAAAAGTGGCGTAAAATCTCAATAAATCTGCATTTGGAAATGCTATTACATCAATTAATCTCCAGCTGTCATAAATCTGACGAGCAATAAGACTACCCGTGGGTTTCCCCAACTCCGCAACTTCACGCTTGTTTCCATTCCGCACTAATTCAGGACGCTGGCGATTAAAACGAGGTCTCTGATTTTTACTCAGATACAGGCGCGTGGGTGTTGAAAACATCTGTAACGACATCCAAACTCTCTGAGCAGCATTCCGGTACTCACGGAGTGATCGAATTAAACCCAATATTTGAAAACTCCAGCTGCTAAATGTGTTAAGAGAGAGCAAATTGTCTTTTGTTTCACGATCAAAATAAGTAGCAGCTTGTATAGATTACTAGACGCTGAGAGGAGACGGTAAAATATGAGGAAACGCTGGAAAGGGAATTTTGTTTTGACATACAACTGAAGTACTTTGTTTCCATTAAAATGGAAAGTGTTGTGAGTCTTGGTTTTCTTGGTGAGTATTAAATTGCACCCCCCCGATGGACGCCTGAGTTGAATTAGGAGGTCTGTCGTCTCAATCACGGGGAGCTCGTCATCGTAACAAGACCTGGCAAAGGAAGTAGATCCACCTGTAGGCTGAGCTGACTGAGCATGCGCCACAGTTGCRGCCGACAGTAGAGATTAGCACATGTAGTCCTTACCGGGCACATGCATTTAGCAGGTGACCTCAGCTGGCATGTGTATCCAGAGCATGCCTGGGAGGTGTGACGCTGGCGTTTATTGGAAGGGGCCAGGAAGGAGCGGAAGGATGGCCATATGTTTTTGCAGCTGACCAGACCCCCACATTCTCACAGGAGAGGGCTGACAACACTCACAGACACCCAGAAGCTCATCAGCGCCCACCCTCTCTTTAGACAAACGCCTCCCTCTTATTTCCCCCCATCACAGAGGAGCAGCTCAGACTCCAGGGCTCTGCAGTCAATTATGTTGACTATTAGCTGTTCATTAGAGGTGAGGCTCCAACAGTTATTTGACTTCTTAGCTGGTGACTAATTTAATTCCCYGACTTTGCAACCTTGGGCAGCATTTACTCTCCTGGAATCTGCTCAGAACAAATCCCTGCCATGACTTGCCAAGTTGCACTTGAAGAAAAAACTGTTTGCAGTCTGTTGCTTTTGGATGCACATCACCTCTACTTTCTACCCTGACAGGATGTTTCGCTGCAGCGTTCATCCTTCAGCTCAACATTGTATGTATAAAACTGTTCTAATGCAGTGGTTCCCAAACTTTTTATCTTCTGACCCACAAAATATCCATGGCAAAAACTTGTGACCCCAAATATTACTGGTCTGAGTACGTGAACTTTGTTAATAACCCTAAAAA